TGTTAATGCCAGGCGAGGTAAGGGAATTCTTTAAGTAATTAGGAATTTCTGGATAGGATGCCAAATATATTCTTTTCCGTATTTTAAATAACCAATTCCAAATATTGCACCCGCTAAATGAGCCTAAAACGAAGAATTACATATAATTAATGACTGGTAAAGTAAAAGAACGAAAATAATTACGAAATTGATATTCACATAGTGATCAAAAATCATCCATCCCCTCAAGATTCCCAATAAATCCAACCCCATTATCATGGGAAGCGCATGACTGAGTTTTATCGGCAAAAAAGGAAAGAAGATAATAAAGATCGATGCGTCAGGATACAATACCGCGCACCCACCCAGGCAAGCAAAAATTGCCCCAGATGCACCTAAGGACGGAATGATTTTCGCGCGCGGAATACTCATTAACGAGAATATATGACTAATTAACGATGAAAAAATTCCAGAGGTTAAATAAAACGCCAGAAATTGTTCACGTTGAAGATAATTATGTATTGCCCCGCCGAAAGAGTAAAGTGCCATCATGTTTAACCCATAATGCCATAATGCTTTGTGGCTAAACACTGAGGTTAGCAGCGTTATTGAGTATCCCGACAATGGACTATGTGCAAAGTATCGATTCATAAAAGGTAAAAGGATTGGTATTTGCCACATTAGAAAAACTACGGCGTTAATCGCTATAATCCCTGAAATAGTTTTTTGACTCTCGGATAACGAGTTCCATTCATGATATAGAAACGTGTATAAACGTAAAACCTCATCAGGTACTTTATAATCTTGTAAACGTTTCAAGTGTTGAAACAAAGTTTTTTCCATAAGCCAACTACGATAACGCCGCCAGTCATTATCAGAAGGATTCAATTTTCCTGTCCAACGTTGTAATTGTTCTCGACGGTATTCCTCAGCCAATACTGCTACAGAGAATATTGAACCTGATACCACTAACGAGAATAGTATTGGCTTTATTATTGTTGGTCTACTACTGCTACTATAAGCATAATATCTAGAAGTATTCGTTGCATTACGTAAAACGTTTTTGTTTCTTCTTATGTTTTCTATTCCAGTAGATGCTGCATTTCGAAAGCTTGACTGGGCTAATGACTGCAGAGAAATAGAAAAACAAGAATTAGAAGGAAATATTATAGAGCTGGGCACTCTTTTATTATAGATCTTTGATAATGTATAATAAGGTTTTTGTGAAAAGATTTGATTTACGGGAAGATGTCGCAACATCATTTCTAACACAAATGACAATTTTTATTTGACACAAAGTTATCATAAAAATCATTGAAAATCTGCACTACCAAAATAGAATTCTTATCGTTATCAGGGAAATTATTATAATTTTACATAAATTTTATTAGAATTAAAAAGACATATATACACATATATAATGTTCAAGAAATTAAAAAAAGAAATGGACAATACCATTCTACAAAAACATGAATCAATGAGTATTAAGCAAATCTTGTTCCTCTGGAACTTTAATCGCTGTCTCCTGTTTTGCTTGATTTATCATAGGGGGTGGGTCATTAATGGCGGTAGTTGTGTTAATAGTGGCGACAGTAACTGGTGACGTAGATCGACTTGATGAATTAGAGGAGGGCACTATAAAGACAGAAGCAGAGGTAGTAGATCTGGGAGGTGGTGGCGGTGAGGAGGTATTTGTTGTAGTTGTTGTGATATTGGCAGTTGGAATTCTAAAATGTAAATAAACGATATATACATTTTATTCAATTTTATTACTTTGATCATTGATTTTTTCAAAAGAATAGGTTTATGAAGATGATACTGACGTGGATGTTCTAGTAGTGGAAGCAGCAGCACCGGTTGTATTAGGAATCTGATTTAATACTTCTCCAGGCGGATGTATAGCATCTTCTAATGTATCATCATCATTCCAAAGTGGTAGCCACCATCCACCTCGACTTCCCTCTTCTGCTTTGACAAATCCACGAATTCGCGATATTCGTTGAATTATGGATTTAGATTCAAGATTGACAAAGAATCCAGAGGCGGGTAGAATTTTTGAAAGGTATCCGAAAGAATCTATAGAGTTGCAATTGATTATTTATATTTGTTGGTGGTTGTTCTATATTCAACTTTTGTGAAAAGTGAAAAAGAACATAAACTTACAAAGATATCCTGAAATCAGTCCACACAAATGACCTGCGAACCATTTTCGCGGAAAGAAAATTTCCATTAATAGTAATAAAACAAGTGGATAGAAATGTGCAGGAACCCTAATTATTCCAAAGATACTAGAAAAGAATATATTTGGCATCCTATCCAGAAATTCCTAATTACTTAAAGAATTCCCTTACCTCGCCTGGCATTAACA